TTGTGTTTCATGTTATGCTCATCATGAAGATACAGGCCTGACAGTGCACGGGGTCGCGGCTTGACCTCTGAAGAGGCGGGTGCAAGGGCAGTCTTCGTGGTGTTGAGCCGCTCTTTTTGGACCACAGCAGTGGGAGTGGGAGCGCGAGCAGCAGTTGGAGGGGAGTAGAAGGAGGATACGGGTAGGGATAGGGGTTGGGCCAGGGATAGGGTAGGCGTACGGGCAGGCTGCAATAGCAGCAGCATGCCGATGATTTATCTGCGTCCTCAGCTTCAGGCAAGCGGCGCACACGTGCAGTCTGGAACCAAGAGCTGCTCATGTAACCAACAATCAATATGTGCCAGCAACTTCTGCTCTCAGAACATCCAAACTGCGAAATTGGATACGGTCAACCTCCAAAGGCACAGGGGCACCCGTGATCCTGCAGACATGCCTCCGTGCTGTTCTCAGCAAACCTACATGACTTCTGTAGTTCGGTAGAAGATCGAGTGTTGGCTGGTAGAGAGCTCTTGCTTTGGCAAAACACCTTGACTTCACGGAAGTACGGATGTTGAAGATTTGGTGCCACGCCCAGGTCAGGTGACACCGGCAGGACTTTCACTCTTGGCATCAGGGCTGCAAGGTTACGTAGTCACCACGTATATAGTCAGATTGCTGCAATTTCACTATCCGTGCTACGAGGTTTTTTATAAAAACCCTAAGAGAACTTTTATAAAAGCCCTAAGAGGGTTTTTATAACAACCCTAAGAGGGTTTTTATCAAAACCCTAAGAGGGCTTTTATCAAAACCCTAAGAGGACTTTTATCAAAACCCTAAGAGGGCTTCTATCAAAACCCTAAGAGGGTTTTGTATCAAAACCCTAAGAGGGTTTTTTATCAAAGCCCTAAGAGGGCTGTTATCAAAACCCTAAGAAGGTTTTTATCAAAGCCCTAAGAGGGCTTTTATCAAAACCCTAAGATGGCTTTTATCAAAACCCTAAGAGGGTTTTTATCAAAACCCTAAGAGGGCTTTTATCAAAACCCTGAGAGGGTTTTTATCAAAACCCTAAGAGGGCTTTTATCAAAACCTTACCAGTACGAGGGCTTTATCAAAACCCTAAGAGGGCTTTTATCAAAACCTTAAGAGGGTTTTTATCAAAACCCTAAGAGGGCTTTTATCAAAACCCTAAGAGGGCTTAACCCTAAGAGGGCTTTTATCAAAACCCTAAGAAGGTTTTTATCAAAACCGTAAGAGGGCTTTTATCAAAAAAGCCTAAGAGGGCTTTATTAAAAACCCTAATTATATACACCCTAAAAGGGTTTCTATAAAAACCTTCTTGGCTGGCTGCCGGCTCTCAATAACCCCAGGCAAGCCACGACAGCGCTCACAGCCGCCTCCTCGCTCACCAGATCGATTTGACAGGTCACCCTCAGGTAGGGACTCGGTTCCGGTTTAAGGTTTAGGTTTTAGGGTTTAGGGTTTAGGGTTTAGGGTTTAGGGGATGGGAGGGCGCACAGGTATAATGTTGCCTGCACAGGCAGCGGCTATGCTTCTGATGGCCGCTTCCACAGGTGCGGCCCTTGGACTCCGCAGGCGCGTAAGAATCTGCCGCACGGCTGGGCAAGAGATTTCGAAGGAACAGTGCAGCTGGCAACATGCTGGATGCCCAACCAGTTTCAGTATTTGTTTTTGGCATGAGGCATGAGGGGTTTTGGATTCTTTCGAGTACCCGGCTTGCAGTCCAAGGCTGCAGGCGCGGCCAAGGCGGCGACTTGGCGGAGCAAAGGCGAGGCCGCAGACATCTGAAGACTGTGCTCGACTCTAACATCCAACTTTTGGGGTGACTTGGGGTTGAACTAGAGGGTCACGGAACTGCGGATCGATGTATGCACATGCGACATGTATCTATAATCATACATATCACATATGTATATCTCTCTATGAACAACAAAAACGTATATATATATATATATGTATATATGTATATATATATATATGAGAGAGAGGCGCCTCTAGGGTCTATTTTACGCTCTATTCTTTTCCGTATGACTGCTATTATTTTTAATAATTGAACTAATTGAAATAATTTAAATCAGCAGAGTTGATTTCAATAATTTCAATTATTTAAATCCGCCAAAGGGCCCAAATAATTGAATTAATTGAAATCCCCCCCATTTCAATTATTTCAATTATTCAAATCCCTGGATTTGGTGGCTTGGGCCCATCGAACCTTCGGATTTCAATTATTTCAATTATTTAAATCCGCCAAAGGGCCCAAATAATTGAAATAATTGAAATCGATGGCTGTTCTGGGCCAAGCCACGAATCCCACCGATTTGAATTATTGAAATAATTGAAATAATTGAAATAATTGAAATAATTGAAATAATTGAAAAAATTGAAAAAATTGAAATAATTGAAATGGGTGCGATTTCAATTATTTCAATTATTTCAATTATTTGGGCCCTTTGGCGGATTTAAATAATTGAAACAATTGAAATCGGCCGGATTTCAATTATTTCAATTATTTCAATTATTTCAATTATTCAAATCGGTGGGATTCGTGGCTTGGCCCAGAACAACCATCGATTTCAATTATTTCAATCCGCCGGGCTCTTTTGCGGATTAAAAGCCCTGTTGATCCAAACTTTGTGGTTTTGGCTTGTTGCGAATTTATAACTTTTTCCTTGGAAAATTGCAAATATTCGCCACCGTTTCGCGGGGGGCTCCCGCCCCGATAGATAGATCGAGATTCCCTTTGCAGGGAGATTATATTAAATCTTATCAGTGTTAGAAAGGAAAACAACCCAAATAACATCTTACTACATCTAACTATAAATCTCATTAAATCTTAATTCGTCTTCAAAAATTATGAAGTCCCGAGCCCGGTCCCCAGCCCTCGCCCTTGCGCCTTCTCAGCCCACCTCCCAGGCCAGCCTCGCCCCCGCGCCAAACTCAAAGCCATGACCCTATAAAAGCAAAGTTTACAGGGGCGCTCCCTGCTTGAGTCGATGAAACACACTACTGTGCTTGTACTGTGCTACTACTGTACTACCATTGCACCAATGTACTACTATGCTACTGTACTCTGTACTACACGCCACTGTACCGTACCAGGCCTCAAACTTGGTCGATCGTGGGGGTGGCTTTAAAGTTTTTAAAAGTCTTTTGAAGCTTTTAAAAGTCTTTTAAAGCTTTTAAAAGTTTTTTAAAGTTTTTAAGCGTCTTTTGAAGTTTTTAAAAGTTTTGTAAAGTTCTTAAAAGTCTCTTAGAGTCTTTAAAAGTCTTTTAAAGTTTTTAAAGGTCTTTAAAAGTTGTTTATTTGTATTTTATTTTTTAAACGTCTTTAAAAGCCAACTCTGTCGAAAAAGCCCTAAACCTTGTGGTTCTGGTTCGGTGCAAAAGGGCAATGATTATTTCAATTATTTCAATTATTTAACTATTTCAATTATTTCAATTATTTCAATTATTTCAATTAATTGAAATCCTGCGGTTCTGTGGATGGGGCCCACGGACCACCCCCCCCCCCCTACTACCACCCACCCACCCTGCACTCCACCCCCTCCCGCACTGCCCCCTGCCCCCGCCCTGCCCCCTGCCCACCACCTGACACCATCCACCCCATCCCACCCTCCCACCCACCACACACCCTCCCCCTGTTCCCTTGCCCCCTCTCCTACCATCCCTGCCTTCCCCACCTCCTCACCTTTCCCTCCCCTTTGCCATTTGCCCCCTGCCCCCTGCCATCTCCATCATCTCCATCATCTTTTTCATCTCCATCATCTCCATCATCTTCATCATCTTCATCATCTCCATCATCTCCATCATCTTCATCATTTTCATCATCTGCATCATCTTCATCATCTTCATCATCTCCATCATCTTCATCATCTTCATCATCGTCATCATCTTCGTTGCCGGTTTCATTGGTTTTAATACCGCTCCCTCTATCCTTAAAGGTAATTTCATAGGTATTGTACGAACCATAATACAATCGATTTATCTTAACTACTATATCTAGAATAGCTTACCACATCGCATCTACATACTTTGTAACCGGGCTTACTATAAAGGCCCCATATGAGGGATCCATAATGGGTTTCTAGAAAGTCTCTCTGTAAGGGATCTATAGTTTTTTATATAATGGATTTCTATAACGTCTCTGCATAGAGGATCTATAAGATTTCTATAAGCAATCTGTAAGGGTTTTCCAGAAGGGCTCCATACGAGGGATCTATACAGGGCATCCATGTGGTTTCTACAAAGGGTAAGGAACATATAGCAGTTTTTTATGAAAGCTCCATGTAAGGGATTTGCAAAGTTTTCTACAAAGAACTCCATTTGTTGATCTATACGGGGTTTCTATAAGTTCTCTATATAGGGGATCTATAAAGTTTCTATACGAATCTATAAAGGCTGTCTATGAGGGCTCCATACAAGGGATCTGTGAAGGGATCTATAGGGGTTCTTCATGGGAATGTATACCTTCGATACGGATAATTGCGCCTTTGTTAAGATCGTGAAGACTATTAACTACGTGATATCCTTCTTGGCTAATGCTGTGATCACATCAGATCTGATATGTATAGAGATACATTGGAAGGCACATGGGAAAACAAACTGACACATTACAGGCCTTCTAATGTGTCATTATTCCTATTGAAACCCTAAAGGCAAGGAACTTATACACTGTAGGGCATCTGTATATTGGAAGGCCTCTGGGTAGTATAAATTGACGCATTACAGGCCCTCTAATGTGTCACTCCACTCCCTCCTATGGAACCTTGTTGATGTGTGACACCCCGTAGCCCTGAAGGCTGAATGAGGAGCAAAGCTCCATTCGAACTGCCATGATCGGCAGAAGCCAGCATGTGAATGACAGGCAGTACACATAGCATAGGCTTGTTCCAAGAACAGCACGTTGTGTCGCCGTTGAGGGGAAAAGAATTCGACGCTCCGTCGTAAGCCCATGGCGAACTCCACCTGGTCTGAGTGTTGAATCAGACCGTCCCAGAACACACATGGCTACGGACAACAACAACCCGAATGCCCATGACTTACCTGGGCAACGACAGGTTATGACTAGCCCAAGTGCTGCTAACGCGCGGATACCCGATGAAAGGGTAGGAACTCAGTTGGTGAACGGAGTTCCAGGCCCTCTTCGTGGAGTGAGCGATATTGATGGAGAAGTGACAACTATGCCGACAAGTTTGGGTCCGGCATCCTACTCTATGCGAGCCCCTTCGAATGAGCAGCTGACAAGTACCGCAGCGGCTCAACCTACTGTACAGTCTGGAATGGCTGGAGGTGGGTTTCTGGTGGGCCCAGAGAGGCAAGGAGTCGAGCTCGAGCGAACTCAGGCACCAACAGTAGGTGCTGACCCTTTGGCTGGAATGGCCCAAGGCACAGTGCTGACTGAGATTCGTGGACAGGTCAGGACGGAAGGGGCCGAAGCCACAGGCATGCTATCTGGTATGCTGAGAACAGTGCAAACTGTTCCCATGGCAATTGACGCCGTGGTGAACCGCTCAGCCTCAGTGCAGTCTGCTGGAGTATCGGGAGGAAGGCATGATGACAGTGTGGAATATGCTTCGGTGAGGACCTCAACTCCAGGAGTTGGGTCTAACGCTGTGCCTCTGGATGGAGGATCTGCCCAAGCTGGGCTGTTTGATCAGCAGGCCCTGGACAGACTTCAGAGGATGCAGGACCAAGCACCACTGTTATATCCTTCTGGTGCCTCGAGCCCTCCGCGACCACCTTCGACTACGTCAAGTGATCTGCAAGCAGAAGTGCGCCGACAGCTAGCTGATATGATGAGACTGCGAGATGAGGAGAGTAGGAGGCTTAGGGCTCAAGTAGAGGCTCTGTCCTACGAAAACCAGAGCCTGAGGCTCAGGATGGAAGCAAGTGTACAGGAGGGTATGCAGCCTTCGAGATCTGAGGGTTTTGGGAGTTTTGGATTTCCTAGCTTTGGTTGGTTCGGGAGAGGATTGGGATCTCTGATGGGCCCCTCACGACCTATCCGCGGCTTGGAATCGGCCATTGGGGCTTCCGCCCCCAGACCTCCTCCAGATCCACCTCAACCGCCTCAGGTCTTGGCCTTCCCGTTCCCAGCGACCGGAGCCTCACCTCAGGAGAGTGTTCGGCACCAGCCACTGCAGCCAGATCCTACACCCGGCCTTGGACTTTCGGCCCAGTTGATTGGACCTAGTGGTTTAGGCTCCAACCCCATAGGGTTACCGGTTATGGGATGGCCCGACGGGACGCCTGGACCTGCTAACCTGAGTAGGGATGTAGTTCCCCCCTCAGCAATGCCTCTACCTCCTGCAAGTAATCTTCCGCCCTCGAGCCTGCCCTATCAACCTGATGAGAATTACGGTGGAACCAGGGCATGCCGAACCCAGTAGAGACCATAATCCCTACACCACAACCTCAAGCAGATCCAAGAGCCCCTAATCTGCCGTCTCCACTAGGTCCCGAAGTGCCACCGGGCACATCAAGGCCACCAACACAAGGAGGCCAACCAGATCAGGGGTTAGATCCTATGAGCATCGTGCTTACGGGTATGGCGCAACTTCAGAGTGTCGTGAGCGAGCTTGCTAGCCCAAAGGCTTCCGAACGCCTTGAGGTTATCAAGCCGGGAGTCTTAGCACTCCCCGAGCTCCCAAGTCACGGTCCAGAGTCATGCCTTGCATTTGCGGATTGGCTGCATGTGACCAAGCCCGCCTTAGCAGATGTAAGCGACACCTCGGAGCGACTGTGGGAGCTAACACTTGCAGAGGCCAACACGTGGTACTGTAGTTATCTGAAGATGGGACCCTTAGAGCGCCTAACAACTAAGCCGACCCCATCCTCTGAGCTTAGTCAGCCTAAGTGGACCCGTGTATCTCGACGTATCGAATCGATGATTAACACCGCCTGCCCCTCTGTAGCCCGGGAAGAAGTATCAGCATCAAGGACCTCGGGACTCCTCGCCCTCGTGTGCAAACTATATGTAATATACGGGCCAGGCAGTCTAACAGAGCGAGAGCTAGGCCTCAAGCATATTTCCGATCCTCCAGCCTGTACTGGAGTTGGCGACGCTATTGAAGCGTTGAGGAGGTGGAAGCGCTGGTGCTCGCGTATGTCCGAGCTCGGGGGCATTTTGCCCGACAGTGCTATTCAGGTCCGAGCCCTCACGAAAATTACTAGATCCGTACTCCTCCAACATCCGGAGGCCTCCTTCCGCATCAATCTTGCGGAGGCTGAGCTTCAAGTAGATGTGGTTCCGGATAGTGATAAAGTAGCTAAACTCCATGCCCAAATGCTGAGCGAGCTGGAGTCAATGGCCTACCGGGGTGACAAGGACCGAGAGCGACAGCCAAAGGATCAAGCACCAGCCCCACAACCTCCGCCTGAGGTAAAAGGGGTTGAAGCTGCGACCATTCCTGACCCCCTGCCAGGAGGACGACCTCCGAAGCCACCAAAGGGCGGCCCGAAAGGGTCACCACCAGAGAAAGGTAGCGACCAGCCTGGAGCAGGGACCTCGAAGGTTCCGTGCACCTTCTACGCAGGGGTTAATGGTTGTAAGAAAGGGAGTGAGTGCACCTTTCAACACAACTGGTCCAGCTTCAGCCCTGCAGAGAAGGCAGCGAGGTGCAAGACATGTGGTTCTAAGTCACATAAGGCTGTAGACTGTAAAGCAGGCTCAAGGCCCGAAGATAAGGCTAAAGCCCGGCCCCAGCGCCAGCCTAATGTGCCAAAGGGACCTCAGGAAGCTGTGCCCGTTCAGCAGGCCCAATCTCCAGGTCAGGATAACAACCAGCAAATTAAGAGCATGCTAGCAGATGCAGCAAGGTTTCTTCAACAGGCAGTCCCGCCTCCGCCTCCTGCCGCACCAGGAACAGCTCAACCGCCAACGGCCAACCCGATCTCAGGCTCGCCGGTGACCCCACAGGCCAAGGCACCGGCACCAGCAACAGTGCAGGGAACGCCTGTCACCCTAGCCTCCTTAAGTGCCCAGTTGGATAACTTAAGGGCGATGGTTGGGAATCCTGAGATTCGCACCTGCAGAGTAGAACCTTCGGATGACGAGGATATCCCACTAAGTGACTTAGTGAAGGGTCGAGCTGCTTTGCGTGAAATGGTTGAGAGGTATGAAGCTAAGGTGTGTAAGGGTTGCCCTGATCTCCCAGCAATATCAGCTGCTCTTCTCGATAGTGGCGCGACCCATGCGGTCGTACCGTTTGGCCCTAACCTAGGCAACCTAGACCGGGTGCCTGTAACCTTAGCAGGAGATGCTAAGGAGGAGTGGTGGAGAACTCAAGGAGGGACGTTGGTCGTCCCCCCGAACCAGGACGGCAGTCCACAGGCCGCACGCGGCCAGACCATCCTGCCACTAGGAGCCTTAGTCGAGCATCTGGGCTGCCAGGTGACATGGAGTAGAAGAAAGGGACTCAAAGTCATCCACCCCACACTAGGAGTGCTTCGGACTGGAGTGTCGGGGAACACGTGCCCATATGTGCAAGAAACACAGGCTCTTCAACTCATAGCCGAGCTAGAGCAGCGCCGCCTTGATCAACTCCAACAACAGGTCGACACGTTGCAGTGTTGTCTTCAGGAAGCAACAGCACCGTTAGACCCTACTGATGCTCTGAGGAGGTATGCAAAGTCTGGAGAGCGGCGCGACGCCCTCTCTGCAATCTTCGCCCAGCCATATCTTCAGGGATTGCCGGAAGGTGTTCTTGCTGACCTAGCGGAGTCCATCCCCCTGAATGATCCTGAGATTGGTAAGGCACTGCTGAAGGGGCTCCCTCTGAAAAGATCCTCTAGGCGTGCCCTCCTAGCTACCAAGAAATGGGTAGTGCACTTATGCTCAGGACCTTTGAGGAGTGGGGATCCGATTGCAAGCTGGTGTTCTGAGCAAGGAATGGGGTTCATTCCGGTTGACCTTCAGCAAAAGGGAGGAAAGGGTTGGGATCTCACTAAGCCAGGTTCTGTATGGAAAATTCTACTTTGGGCGGCCGCCGCTGGTAGAATAGCTGCAGTTTTCTCTTCCCCACCAACCGAGTGAGTGTTCAGGTAAGAAGGAGAGGCTGTATCTTCAGGGCCGTTGGTCTTTGGCTTCCACGATAAAGGGAGGAGGGGTCCCGTATTTGGAAGAGCTTCTTCACACAGAGTCGAAGCCCTCTGATGCCTTCCAGTGTTGGTCCGGAACCAGGACAAAATCCTTGTTTCAAGGTGCCCTTTCCCGAGACTACGAGCGCCCAACCAAGGTTGTGACAAATCTGGATATCTCCTTTCTGGCAAGCCTTCCTAGGTTCGGGAGTCCAGCCACTCCACCGAAGGGGCGAGAGTGGACACCGGAGTTCCGGAGGGAGATCGTTCGTGCACTCCAGGGAAAGTCCTCAGGTCCCTCAGTCGAGCAGATGGATCGCACAATCACCGAAGCCACCACCCGCGAGACACGGGGTACAAGTGACACCCTGTTTGCTTGCTCCCAGGCTCAGTCTGATGCTGAAGCACTAAGGCGGGCATTTGAGGAGGAGAGTGAGATTGGTGATGAGAGTGATGGTGGTCTTTCGCTAAGGGGGACCCGAACAAGGTCATAGCCGCACTGGAGCTACTGGCCTTGGTGTGAAACTCTGGGTCCCAGAAGGGGATGCCAAGAAGACCTCCAAGGTCGCTATCCGTGGGTACACAGACAACCAGTCCAACGAGGCGCTACTGAAGAAAGCTATGACGACCAAGTTCCCATCGACCTTGGTGCTGATGGAGCTAGCAGAGGAACTCTCTGCTAAGAACTGTGAGCTTCAGCTGCAGTGGATCCGCAGGGATCTGAACCAGCTAGCGGACGACCTCACGAACGAGAACTTCGCTAGCTTCTCCCCGGACTTCAGGTTGAACCTGGAGGGGGAAAAGCTAGAGTGGCGTGTGCTGGGCCGTCTCCTCGAACACTCGGCTAGCTACTTCCAAGAGCTAGGAGTGAGGAAGAGAACCGTCGAGCCCAGAGGTTCGCTAAGAAGGCCCGTAAGCTGGGTCCCTGGTAGCCCTACGGCTGCGCAAGGAGATTAGCTAGCCGAAGGCTAGAGTTCTTCTCCGGGCTAACGCGGGACTTCGCCACAACGCTAAAAAGAGAGAAGTTCGTGTTGTCCGTGCTACTGAAGCCAGTGAGTTTGAACTAGGCTTGCTACGTACTCCCCGGAGGTGTAGAGGGAGGTGGCGGGAGGATACGCTAGCTAGTGTAAGCATTGGTGCCGAGGGACGAGGTACGACCGTGTATGCTAGCGCTAGTATCCTTGTCTGAAACATCGAAGGTGTTTCGCTAGAAAACGTCGAAGGGGTTTTCCTCTGAAGCTAAACAGAACGAAGCCTGTCTGTTTGCTAGAGTGACTGCACATGGCCGGTGGAGAGTGTGCTACTCCGTGGCCATTGTGCTGAAAGGCCCCCAGCTACTGGGGGGGCAATTTTCGAGTGCCCACCCAACCGACCCTGGAGATTAGCTAGCCGAAGGCTAGAGTTCTTCTCCGGGCTAACGCGGGACTTCGCCACAACGCTAAAAAGAGAGAAGTTCGTGTTGTCCGTGCTACTGAAGCCAGTGAGTTTGAACTAGGCTTGCTACGTACTCCCCGGAGGTGTAGGGGGAGGTGGCGGGAGGATACGCTAGCTAGTGTACACATAGGAAGCCATGGCAAGGGCACAAAGGATACCAACTATTAGAGTTGCCACGAGCCCAGCTCGCAGTAATGGAAATGAATGCCAATACCAAACGATACGGACACTTCACAGTAAGCACTGAAATCAGAATTTTGACACTTTCAGGTCAGCATTTCTGCAGGGAAGCCCCGAGATATGTACAATTGGCGGAGTTCCTGCAGTTGGTGTTTGCGACTGCTCGGAGGCCATGCATACTGTACAATCAAGGCTTTCTGAGATAAATAGCCTGAAATTCGAGTGGACCAACTTTCCTGCGGATCTTGGATTTCGGATAGACCACGCTTTGTCTGGTTGCAGGTAGGTCACTGTTCTGTTGGCCATGTTGAGCCGGAAGCCCAGAAATTGATGATTCGTAACTTCTTCCAGCTGGATAGTCCCTCCGTAAAAAGAGAGGTGTTGAAAATCTTTCATGCATTGATGCGACAGAAAGTTCTCGTCGCGCACAACGAGCCGATTATCAACATACCTACAGACAAAAAGTTCCGACGCTTGGTTGTCAAAAAACCTAGCTGAACTCAAGAACTGATGCCATTCTCTTTGCCAACAGGATTCTCTTTGAATCACTGGAAGACTGCTGAGTACCGGGCTGATTTGATTGCCTATACATGTGCCCCGGTGTTGCCTGAACAACAGGCCAAGAGTGGTGACCACTCCTGCTTGAAAAGAGGTCTGTACAATAGCAGTCAAGTCGGAAACATGAAGAAATCGTATGTGTTTGGCTCCCTTTGCCATGGGTTTACCTGGCCAAGCAGACTCACAATTGGGTTGCTTGTTCAGGGATACCGTGATCTGTGGAGGGTATTCCTGGTCTTGATACAGCTGTACAAGCATTGACAAGGAATCCAGGATTTGCTGTCTGGGCACAGAGTTGAAAAATCCCACTAGATCATCATTGATCTCGGCGAGATGCACCATAGGAGGGGTGCGACGAAGAAACTGATGCAGTTTCTTCCAAAGTTGAGGGGTAGTGGCTAGGCCCATGGCCTCAGGCCAGACCAAGCGGACCATCAAAAGAATCGCTTGCGCAGCTGCAATCAACAACTTCTTGATACAGCTGTTGGAGTACGATATTATCGTCCTCCCTTCAAAAATTCTTTCTTTCGTTTGAGAAACACAAACCCCACTGGCAAGGTGCCGGAAGCATTGATTCCCCAGCGATATCGTCTTTTCAGTGTGCCGGGAATCTGTTGGAAAACTTGTTGGTTCCAGAGTTCTTGGGAGCCTTCCACAGGCTCGAAAACATCTGGATCCTGCCAGGTCTTCATGGCAGCTTGAAGATAGAACTTGGGACAGAAGACCATAAGATGATTCGGTTCATGGTCTTCGCAATGCACAATAAAATGTCGATGCAATAAGCTGCGAGCAGCAGAGACGTCTCCCCACGTGAGCCGACTTTCTTGGCTCAGGTGATCGAGGTGTTTGCTCCATTGCTGCTCAAGAAATTGCTGAAAGGTTCGATCTACACCCTTGGGAAAACAATGCTTGCGCCTCCAAGATGCAAACATACGGGTGTTGTGATTGAAAACTTCTCCTTTGGACGGAAAAAACGCTGAAGATGCACTGCCACTCCCTAGTTTAGCTTGCCTAGTTGTTCTATGCCTGCTACAACATGGCCTCTAGTGAGGCACTGTTCTGGCAGCAGTTTGGTGTAGTAACTGCAAGGACACGGTGCATCAGCAACACAATGAGTCTGTAACCATTGGTCCCAGTCTTTGAAATTATGCATAAAGTCTTTGAGAGACTGGTGGGGTTGCTCTCTGACTTTGCACACTGGTAAATGAAAAGGTATAAGAATCGGCTTGTGTGCCAATACAAGCTTTCGGATCCATCTGGACACATCTGACCCGAAGCTTGGGGATGCAGTGAATTTCAACTGCAAGCCGAGGGCAGCCGAGGGCCAGGACATGTTGCGAAACTGACAAACACCTCGGAGCACTTTCCTGGCCTTACTTTTGCCAGGCTCTTCCAGGCAGTTGCTCAACCGAATCAGAGAGTAAATCTCATCAGGAAGGTATCGGTCGCTTCGCAGCTTTCTTGCCTCTTCAAAGGGGGCACGGCTGAAGCATGTAAGATTGAACAGTATCTCCCATGCCGCCCTTCTTTTGAGCTGAAAAGGAACGGGCTGAAGTTGTCTGTAGAGTTTCTTTCTCAATTTTCTCCACAGCCTTAACCCAACCTAGAGGACAAGCTATGTCGAACTCTCTTGTTGGGTCGAAAGCCCAATGCACTCCTTTTGAAAAAGGAAGTAATGTATGGGTGATTCAGTTTGGGCTGCCACATCCCAATTAAGCAGTGCTCAGTAATCCATGCTTCCTTGTAAGTTGAGCACGGAGAAACAAGAAACAAAGTGTACTGCTCAAGACACTGATTGGACACCCAATATCGGATGGCTAGCTCGGCCTGAGCTTCACCTCCGCTTGCCAGCTTCCTGGCAACTAAGAATCTGTTAGATTCTCTTCGAAAAACTGATTGGCTCGTGGAGCCTATGTACATGAATGTGGAAGGCTGCCTGTAGTGCTCAATACTTGAAAAATGGCGCCAGTCCACTGCTGTTTTCACGTACACCGCATTCTGAGATTGAAATCTTGGCCACGTGTAGGTGGCAGGGTGCACCCGGAACTGCTGAAGCTTCTGTCGGATAGTCTCAGCATACGACGAAGGGGAGCCTTCTTGAAAGTAAAATAACAACAGAAGATGAAGCAGGCCTTGGGCCCACAGTGCAGACTCTTTGTTGAAGCCCGGACAGTGGTGCAAAAAGAACGTCACAGCCTCTCCCAACATACAAATTTGCTGCTTGATTCCCTGTTTGCTGGAAGCAGCAAGATGTTGGTATTGAACTGCTAGTCAAGCAGTTTGAAATTGTGCAACAGCAATCACAGTAGACAGATTCTTGATGGACAGTCTGGATGCCAGCTTCGGATCCAGTCCGAAATCTTTGGCAGCTGAAACCAGTTGATCTTTAGAGGCTTCAGTTTTGAGAAGCTTCTGAACAGTCTGTACATGCTTGACAAGCAGCTGGTACTTGCCTTTAAACCCTGGCTTGTTTTTGTAAGTGGCCAGCCATTCAGTGACATGGTCATCTGTGGCTCCTTTGGGACGAGTATCCAGCTTTCGTTGAGGGTCTTTAAGGAGCTGTTCAGCTTCCATCTGGGATTCCGGCTCAGCAATAGGCATGGCGGGCTTTGCCCGTTTATCTGAGTCTGGCTCAGGATCTTCAGTTGCCTTCCTCTTCAAAGGGGACATTGCAATGCCATGCTCAGCCAGTTTGGCTTTAGCTTTGGCGAGCTCTTCAGAGGCATCCGAATTTGTTGGAGGCGCTTTGGCCAAAACACAATTCAGAAGTTCTTGAGCAAGGGGTTCCATGAATCGCATTGCCTCCTTGTGCTTGTCCGGAGGAGCTGAGCTGTGACAAGCTTTTGCTGCCTCATCGATAGAAACACCACTCTCACGAAGCTTCTTCAACAATGCTGTGATGAGTACCGATTCTTGGCCACTTCGAGCCCAGACGATACTCTGATGCCGTCCTTCCGACAGCAACCGAAATGAGAAATCTCCAAGGCCTCGATGAGAAAGCTCAAAGGCACGGATGTCACTGACATCACGGCCAGCTAACCCGGCTTTGCGAGACCACTCTGTTGGTTGAACCAACTTATGCAGCACATGGGCACCCTTGCCCAAAGGGGTCTTGTCGTAGTGCTGCTGGTCGGAAACAAAAGAAGACGGCAAAGAGAAAGATTGATATGTGGGGCTGGCTACATGTTCCCACGATTTCTCAGAGTATTTGGAGTCCCATTTGTCTTCTTTGCTCCATCGATTCCATTGCTGTCTGTTGTCCCAGCTGTTGCTGGAGTCGCTGTTAGACCATGATGACCAGGAGGCCATGGCGGGATCAGTTGTCCAGGGGGGAACAGTTGCTTGATCAGACTGACGGCTGTTGTGAAACGAAATGGCATCAGTCCCGTCTGCAACTAGGCAATCAAGCCTTGAACTACAGATGATTGCTCCGTAGAGCATTTTCGAGTTTGAGACCAAGAGGTCTTGCTTTGGGTGTAAGCCGATCAGGGCTTGGACCGATCAGGGTCCTATGATTATGACTGGGCCGATCAGGGCCAGGCAGTAGGCAACCCTACCGTAGACGACACGATCGACGAAAGCCGTCTAGAGCACACTCGTGCAATCCTCCCTCTGGACTGATGGTAATTGTCAGAACTCAGTCTTTCAACATAGAGGTAAAGGATTTTAAGCCGCTAGGCAGTAACATCTAACACTGTTATTGGGGTTTTAGGCTTAGCCCCAGGCCATCACACTTGCAAAACACTCGCAGAAACACTTGCAGGTACACCAAGCTGATCAGGCTTGGCTTCCCTCTCTGATGCATAGCTTCGTTGGGTACGGTAGCATCAGAGAGCCGTACCCCCCTGCAAACATCATGCATATTAGCAAACCTTGGCACACAGGTGTTCCACACACACACACCCACACACACCCACACACCCACACACCCACACGCACACACGCACACACGCACACACGCACACACGCACACACGCACACACGCACACACGCACACACCCACACACCCACACACCCACACACCCACACACACACACTGATGGATTCGGCCAAGAGAGCAAGAAGAGGAGAGTATGTTGTATGTTGTTGTCTAATCTGGACACCACAGGGGGCCTGTCCTTGAGCTAATCTTGGCACCACAGGGGGCTGCCGAAAGTTGCGCAGGTATGCTTGTGGTGTGCATATGAAAAGTTCGTCGTCGTTGTCCTCGTCCTCGTTGTCTTTCCACTCCTCATCCACCAGCTGGCACGACCGCCCCAGGTGCAATGAAGGTGGCAAAAGCAGGTACGTTTTCACAGGCTTTCCGGGAAGGTCTTCGTTGACCACCGCTCCCCGGAGGCCTCGGTGGTCCCCTGCAAACTTTCATGTGTTTAAGTGAAAATGTATTGCAAGAATGTGTCAGATCCAACGGAAAGGAGTGACCCTCTGCTCCCATGTGCTAGGGAGGTTCACACACACACAGCCCCAGCTTGGGGCGGCTGTGTGCAGTGGAATAAAGCCGCGCCAGGGCTCCAAGATCTAAACGAACCCAAACTAAACCACAAAACCCTGTGGGCTGCAATGCCCGCTTGCAAAGCTTGTCGATGTAGTCCAGAATGTAGTAATGTTGTGGTAGTCCAAGATGTGGCGAGGCGTAAAATTTAGGGTTCAGGACTGTCCTTCAGCTGGGCACGCAAGCCCCCAGAAGCGACAGAGGGGAAGGAAGGCTGATCAGCTGCCCTTGCAAGGGCCCAGATCCAGCCGGGGACTGTTCCTCAGCTGGGCGCGACGGCCCCCAAAAGCAACAGTAATGAGGGTTAATGGAGAAAACTGCTACCCAGCTACCCTCGAAGGGGTCCAGGGCTAGCAGCTTCTGACCAATGTGTTGCACATGTGGTTGTATGTTG